TCACCTGCTGCAGCTGTAGCAAGGAAAAGGGTGCAGAGTTTCTTACAAGGTGCAGGGGGGAGCAACGGGTTAAAAAAAAAAAAAAAAAAAAAAAAAAACAAAAGACAAGAAAAAATCCACAAGTAACAGAAACAACAGACTCAAATTGAGTGTAGTGTTTGCCAGACAGTAGGTAATAAGCTTGAGTGTGGTGAGAGAAATTATTTGGAGAAGACTGAAATTCATAAGCACAGTACATATATTTCAGGTGTTGAATAGCTTTTTAATAAGGCAGTATTTTCAGGTAACTCTCTAGCCACATAGGCAGCTGTACTGAAGCATACTGATACCAGCCAGCAATAATGGCACCTGCAGGAATGAACCTGAAAATACTGGTAATCTTGTATATTTTTTAAGTTCTTTAAAGAGATTTTTAAAAACAGAAAATGAGATTTGATCACTGAAGGTCTTTATCTTCTGCAACACAGGTTGCAATAGTCTTTTTTCTTTATTTCACTTATTAACTAAAAGGGAATTTGGGTGTCATCTTTCTGTAAACATTCAGTGTGTTCTCTGTAATATTTCCCAAGTCTTTTAGTGGATAATGCAGTGAATTTCTGCTGGCAGTTTGAAAATAACATAGAACGTGTGCATAGCCTACGCCACTAATACTTTTCCAAGTTTAAACTTGTATTCAAACGTGTAGAATACTAGCTTGTTACTGCAGAATTCCATACTTAGAGCTTGGCTTAATTTTGTAGATGGGCTTAACTTGTGCAGAACACTTCTCCATGTACAGAGGCTCAGTCCTCTTAAATAGAAAGAGGAGGTGTCTTGGAGGCAGAAATTGTGTGTCAAGTTAACTCCTGTTCATATTTCATAGCCAACCATCCATAAAGCACCGTGATTTGGGTTTAGAACGGGCGTGTTGTTTTTCTCATGCGTGCCCTTTCTAGATATACAAGAATTGCCAGATGAAGATAGGAATATTGTAAGAGAAGGTAACTATTTTATGGTATCAGAAGTTAGACTAAATGAAATCCTTTGAGCCAACTTCTTCAAGCAAAAAGGGAATTTGTAGAAGAAGTTTAGCCTAGCGATTAACCATGGTCACACAATTCTTAGTGGGTATTCTTTAGAACACTTTGCATGGTTTTAAACCCTGTTAATATATTTTCTTCGGTGTGGTGAGTAAGCAGTTTTATCTGTTGTTAATGCTTATTACCTTTAGTATACAACCAGGGGAATAAGCTATGCTAGGATGTCAGTGAAGATATCCTTTTGAAAAGTGTGATACAACAGCAAAGAAGTATTAGTTATAAATTCTTTAAAATTACCTTAGTACTTAAAAAACGGGTTAGAAAATACTTCATATACTGAACTTCTGATGGCATGCTCACGTGGATTAGTGGAGGAAATTATTGGTGTCACTAGCAAGTATGTACTCCCATTGCACACGTTTTACATGGTAACAGTGAAAGAATGTCTCCCTGCAAATTCTGATGTCTTTCCAAAAGGCAGCTTGCTTTTATATCTATGCATCTTTGAGGATTTCAAGATAAGATTTTATTCTTTTGACACTATAAAGAGGAACTGTTTAAAAATGAACTTGGAAACTCTGCACCTGTATACAAATTTTTTTAGCAATAAAGCAGCACAGGCTGAGAATGCACTAAAACTGGATGTGTCATTTGTTCAGAAAACAAATTAATCAACTGACTATACGCTACACTCCATTTCTGAGATGGATTTATACTTGCTGCACCTTTGTCAAAGCTTAACAATTTGATCTAAACTGACATACGCTGGGTATCTGCTTTGGGTCTACCTGTTCCAGCAGACTTCAGGCACAGGAGCCTCTTGCTTCTGGAAGGGAACTAAAGAAGAATTGTTACTCCGCTGGTACCGAGATAGGCAACTTACCTGATAAAAGCTTCAAGGGTTGTTTTCTATGGTAGCAGAAAGCTTCTGTTGCTTGTATACATTGCCTAAAAGTATTAAGCCCCTCAGAAAACTGCTTCATATATGGGGATTGTTTATTGTTTTGGCAGCTACATTTCTGAAAATTTCTTTCTGTGTTTGGCATGTCACAGCCTGCAGGGAGGCACAACTTTCCTTGCAGTTGCTGCTGAAAGCAGTTTTGGGAAGTGCTGTAACACAGCAGCATGATGCCACCTCACGAGGGCCACACTGAAGGAGCCGTGGCTCCCAGCCCTGCCACCAGCTGTTACAGATTGCTATCCCCTATGCTAGCTTATAGAAGATTCACACTGTGATTATTACTTCAGTAGCCTGTTCAACCACCTTAATTTGTTTCATTTTCTAGTTGTTTTTGTCTTTAGATTCCAGAGAAGACAGCTGCTGGTTAGCTAACATAAGAAGGCCTGACCTTGAGGCTTGTAAATTATGGTGGCTTGTTTCTTAAAACAGAATTTACTTAGAACACTGTACTGCTGTGAGTGTCAGCAGGTACATCAGGCAATTGTCAGTGCCGAGAAAAAACACCATTTGACATGAAGAACCACAGCTTGACTAGACAAAGCGGAGGTCCTCCCTGTTCCAAAGATTAGAGGAAGGTAGTTTAACAAATTACCAGATACTATTTAGCATATACTCTTTATTTGTTTAAATTCATGCTAAGTAATGTAGTATGAGGAACCATTAATCTAATGCTTTATAATCACCCAGGACCTGAGCAAGATCAAGTGATTTTTTTTTTTTGCTGCAAACATAATCTAAGGAAAAGAAGTGGGCTTATGACTCGCAAGGTATTATACATGATCTGCAGAATATATACTTCTGAAGGCCAGCTTTTTTTATTTACTTAAAAAGTTTCTTCTTTACAACTGTAAAGATAATACAAAAAAAAATTAACTGACAACTTTCTTTTCCTTTTAGGGGTGGACACTTAGCTAAATGAAGCAAGACAATTTAGCACTATTATACACAGCATAGATGTGAAGTATGTAGCAAGAAACGGTCTCAGTGTAGAAACCATAATGAAAGGGCAAAAGTGAGTAGTCCCATTATCAGTTACGTTTCTTAAACTGATACAACAACAAAAGGCCTGTCACTAACACAAAGGTGAAGTTATACAATGGAAAACATTTAGCCGAGACAGAGAGCGCTTGCACAAAATAAATTTAGTCACAAGACTTCAGTTAAAGACCAACAGCCCCTTAAACATAATGGCACAACACAACTTTAAAAACTTCTTTGTTCTCAATAATGAAATTATCCAATAAAGCAAATCAAAACTTTATATGCATATACAGTGACAACTGTTAAGAACAACCTGCCAGTTAAGGGTTCAGAGTAAAGCTCATTTTAGAGATAATATCACAACAGGCAAGGAAAGAGATCTTACAAGAGTGTAGCATTTACTTCAGGCAGTTACTTTTGATATCCTGAATTTAGCTGTCACTGAAAAGCACTATAGTTTTACACTTACACCTGTCAGATTTGTAAAACATAAACAATAAAAGTAATTTAGATAGCATATAGTATTAGAATTTAATAGAGCCTCTCCTCTCCCTGCAGAATGGCTGTTGATACTCTTATGTTATTGCTTAATCAGAACAAACTGAGACAACCCAGAGCTCTTAATCAAAAAGCAGCACAGTGAACATAAGTAGAAGTATCAGCTGCCCACCTAAAGCCTCTGAGGTGCCTCACAGTGAGTTTTGTCCCCTCTGCTCCAAGTCTATTACAAGAGTTATTTTACAATTAAAAGAAGTCATACTGTGAAATACAGGGAGCACTGGCATCCACAGCAATGGGGAGTGCAATCTGCCAGTCGTATGTGGAAGCAGAAGTAACAGAATGGCAAATTGCATCACTGGAATGAAGTTGATAAAGTAAATAAAATCCTCTTTAGACTCCTACAGACAACTACTAAACTTCATGGAAGTCTTAAAACATCAGTCCTTTAGGCAACAAAAGTGAGAGGAAAAGGAACCTTAATCTTCCAACTAACAAGAATTACGGATATTCTGTCCCAATAACAAGGGGCAAGCAGTGTTCTTTATTTTCCATCAAATTACTTTCTAGACATCTGGATAGAAGCAGAACCCGTTCAAAGCAGAGAGTAATGCCAGTGAGTACCCATTAGGTACTTTTTATGAAACATCTGGACTGGCCAAGTGAAGGCAGCAGGCAGATCATCACAACTTCAGCAGAGCAGCATTCCCACGACTGAGCAGAAGTGAAGGAGAAGAAAAGACCATTCCTTGGTTTCACAGCTTCAGCCCCAGAAAGAAAGGCTCAAATCTGCTAAAGGCAGTTGCTCACAGCCTAAGCTTCACGAAGCTGCCAGAACTTGACTGAGTCCTGTGCAGCCACAGGGCTGCACTTCCAGAGGACTTGGCAGGCACACGCTTTACCCTTGAAAGTGAAATCCAAAACCTTGTGCTCCAGCCAGCGCTGTGCCATCCAGATTCATGCACTGAGCACACCGTGCAGCTTCTATGACATGCTAGCTTGCTCCTTTTGCAGGCCAGACACACACAAGAACTAGTCAGGAGGCCTTTTAGCAGTGCCTCACATAGCAGGTGTAGCTAATTTCCACTTGACCAACAGCTAGCTGCCATTAACACTGTATCTATATGAAAAAGTAGGACAAGAACTTTGATCTCTGTAAGAACATTCCATTTATAATAGCTCCCCTTGAACATTATCTTGTTAGTATGTCTTGTACAGTTCCAGAAACCTGATTTCAGTATTTCAAAGGCTGTTTCCCACCCTGAAGTCATTACAGAGAATCAAAATCATAGTAATACTGTCTCGGAGAGTGATGTACTACATGGGCAAGCTATTCATTTTTCCAAGCATAGCCTCAGTATGTCATATTTTCAGGTGTTCCTCTTAGGTTGAAGGGATGCACTTAAGCATTGGTTCTTTCCATATACAGATAAAGTGACAGATCAACACTCAAACCTGTTCTGGTGCATTATTTCATCATAATGAACAAACACAGCAGAGATGCAGAAACCGCTCCAGCAGTTCTTGAAAGTGCTATATTATCAGTTGACCCTGACTATGGTATATCCTGGCAGTAGGCTGACTGCATCTGCTGCAGAGCTTTGCCTTTCTGCCACATTATTCTTCTGCTCCAGTTCCTCCAGCTTCTTCATCAGCAATTCTATGCGAATGTGGACCTCCACAAGCTTTTCCTTCAGCTAGAAAGAAAAAAAAAAAAAAAAAGAGAGTATTAAAACTGGAGAAAAATGTCCTCACCCTGGATCTTTGAATAATCTGCACCCTGCTTTCAGTGGCTAAAAAGCATCTGACTTTCAAGATGGATAATTGTACTGGGCTTTAATCTCTATATTGCATGTCTAGTACAGCCAGAACTGGCACCCAGATCAGGAGACAGACGAGTGTGTGCCAGCATAACACCTTTCAGAGATGTATGGAAATACTCTACTTAAGGAGATGGAGTTGCTGGAGCCTTACTACGACCAATCCAATCTTTCCTAGTTAACTCATTACAAGTTTTTAAGCAGCCAGAGACCTTCTTTGACAATATCTGGACAGACTGTTTCATCACTAGTTTAGGAACACATGCGGACAGTCCTTCAAAAATGCCATTTCCAGAGTCCGGGGTTTAAGTTAACACATCTAAAGCACAAGAGTAAAACCCTGCTGACGTGACGTTTCAAAAAGCAGAGACCAGATTATTGCACTTGGTCTAATCAACAAGCAAACTGTCCAGACTCACACAATTTGTGTTTGCAATCACGTAATACAATTTTTTTTACTTCAGAAAAATGTGTCTCAACTTTAGAAGTCTTGCCTGGATAAGATTTATATATTTTAGCCTCACTTGACCTATAAAAACATTCTGATCTTATAGTAAGACATTGGAAGATGACTTTAAAGAGGACAAAACTTAAGAAATGTCATGGGCCCATTTCCATTCTTAGAACGGCAAGTAAAACAGGAACAAAAAAAGCAACAAGTAAGCACATAAATACTGGATACACTGGCAGTCTCCTACACGCAGTGACTTTCCTTGAGCTATGGGACAGACAATTTGCTAAGTTAACAATGAGTTACAGAAAAGAACATTGAATTTCAACACCAAAAAAGGAGGGAGGTTCTAATGTTGTCTTGGAAACAAGTAAACACTGCCATGCTTTTTTGAGCTCACATAGCCATAAATACAACCGTGCCAGAATCCCTTTCAAATTAACAAATTGCTATTTTTCAAATTCTTCAACAGTGACTTATCAATTCTAGGGACAACACAAGTAGTAACACTTAGGCAAAGTCTGTCTAAACAACTCTTGGGTATGTTTCTTTTCAAAATGTAGAGAAAAAAGGATAACATATTTTTGCCAGAAAATGAACTAGAACGGGAAATGTTTTGCAGGTAAGTGGTTCTAGAAAATGTTTTGCATGTCTCACGCATTTAAGTCAGTCACTGTATTATGTCAGTATTTTCTCCATCTTAAGCACTTAAAAAAGTAATTGTATTAATATCTTTGGACTACTATCAAAAAAATGAGCATTTTGAAAATATTTTCCATAGAAATTAATGTAGAAACCTTACTTTCCTCAGTTGTTCCTTTAAGGTCACAGCAGGAAAATTCACCTTAGAAGCTTCTATTATCATTTGGTTTTTTAAGAGGTAACTGGAAAATGAAAGGGGGGAGAAAAAACAACAAACCAAACTAAGAAAAACAGTTAAAAACACCATAATTGCATTCATTGTTTAGACAGATTATTTAAGAGGATTTTAAAGCAGATACAAAACTGTTGCCAAAAGTAGTGAATACATTATGAAAATATTAAAAACAGAACAATGGTTTTACTTTGAAATCATAAGATACTCCCATTACCAGCTATAAGTAATTTACAGTTTCTATAATCAAGCCCTCAATCTACCACAGAACTACCTGGATACCTTACATTAGCTAAGCGAGCTGGGAACTGAAGGAGATTTCAGTATTGCAAGCAACTAAATTTAAACCTTGGCATTACATGAGGACACTCAAAAAGTGCAAGGCAAATCAAATGGAGTCACACCAACACAAAATCCCACACCAATGTGCTCAGTCAAAAACAACGTCGCTTTTGTTAGCTGTAGACTAGTTGTACACCCTGTTGTAATAACTTGTAAATTCCCTTGAAATCAATGACCATGAGAATACAGTATACTCACCAGAGGATGCTGTCCTTGAAGAAACAGAAAAAGCCTCGGAGATACGCCAGGTCACTGGACGAAGAGTAAAGAATGAAGCCCACGACCGAGCCACATGACCGACAAGATAATACATTGTAAGTACTAAAAGGAGAAAGGGAAAACTGTATTAAACAGAAGCTTCTGAAACCAGAGATACTGCATGCTTCTAAGAGGACATCAAATCTCTAGTTCTATCAGGACAGCAAAACAAGACCTAACAATGCTTTCTCCTTGAAGAAATGATGCAAAAAAAAGAGAAGGTGAACATAAAAATTTGGACATGTGCAAAAAATAATCTCTGTAATATGCGAAGTGGCAATTAAGGAAGAAAATACATGTCTCACTATCACAGAGTAGTTTAGGCTACACTACTCAAACATGATTTAACTGGTAAAACAACGCCTGCACCAGGTCAGAGATGTGAAATATCCCCCTGATGAAACAGATTATTGCCTCATGCTAAGAGAGGAATAAAAGGCAAAAAAACCCACCCCAAAGCCCCACAAGTCTTATATTTAAAAAGTTCCTTATAGTTTGTAAAATAGCATTCAAACACAGTGTAAACAGACTGCCGGTTCTGTGAACCCTCGGGTGGTGTTTACCTCCTTCCCATCGGACCACTCCCAGAGTCACCAAACCTGTCGCTAACTGTAGGCTCACGGAGAGAGCAGCCGAAGCTGTCCGTTTTCGGTATAAAAAACCACCCAGGAACCCCAAACGGAGATGCTTGAATCCAGGCAGCAGACCGCTCAGGGCAGAAAGGCACCTACGAGGCCAGGCTGTCTTTCGTCGCGCTGCTCAGCCGCTCCCCCCCGCCCACCAAGGCTAGGGCAACCAAATCTGCGATTTTGACCACAACGAAAGCCACGTACCCGCCAAAGGTTTCTCCGCCCGAAGCGCGGAAGCCCGGGGACAAAACGCACCC